AAAAAATACTACATTTGTATTTATTTATTTATTTAATACTGAAGTTGCAAGAGATTTTCTATTGAGTGTGGTATTAATCTAAAATAAAATAGCCCTCTAAAACACTATCGCTTATTTACTCTGTCAGAGTGACATGATCTTAAAGCTTAGTAATACAATAATCCTTCTAAATAAAAATATTTCTTTTTGATATTTCTTTATTAATTGAATCTGGAAAAAAAAGTACTGAAATGTGTAATGAGTTAAAAAAATCAACATTACTTCTAACAGTTTTTGAGTATAAATCAGTCATCCACGGTTCGTTGTCAGACTTACAGTGAACAGAAGTGAAAGACACAGATGTAAATGTCTCTAGTCTTCATCATTTTGTGCACTGACTGTTTCTGATGTGTTCTTTAACACTGTGTTTGCTGCCCCTGTTTGTGTGCAGTGGGAGTACAGCGGCCCGCCCTGACCGTCCTGCCCCATCCAGAGAGGAGCTGCTGAAGGGCAGTGCCTCGCTGCTGGTGGCCAGTGGGGCTCCCCTCTGATGGACGCTGGCTGGAGAGTGGGCGAAGCTTCCACAGAGGGGTCCACAGCCCGGAGGTGATGAGAGGGCGCCTCTACAGCCGCATCAGCGTCCTGAGGCTGTCCACAGAGCAGTGACAGAACATCAGTGATCTGTGAGCCCATCGGAGTGGACAGAGCCCAGTCACTCAGAGCCTGGAGTCACTCCTGCTCCCAGTGAGACACGTCCACATGAGGACACACTTCACCTGCTCTATGGGACACTCCCTGGGTTTGACTGATCTGATGGAGGCTCAGGATAAACATGTGACTCTGCAGCTTCATGTTACTGTGTTTTGTGCTAATAAAGCTTGTGCTGATCAAAACATTTTGTCTTTTGTCCAGTGAATCATGTTGAGTAGAAACATGAAATCTGCACATGGTACATTTAAATTTATATTTGTAACTTTGAATCTCTCTGATCATTTAGTAAAGCAAATACATTAATATTCAATATTTAAATTCAAACAACAGCCAAACTTACCAATCAAGTTTGTAACTATTCTTAATTTTAAATGTTTCATTTGATTGAATTTAATGTGTGTTTTTTTTTTCTCAACCATACACATTCTAACAAAGTAGATGCTTTTGACGTGATCTCAGTAAGTGTGTAAATCTCATCATTTCCTGCTACAAAATCCCAAATTAAGGTTATTACATAAAGATGAACACATGTAATATTATTTGGATGGGTTGAACTGGTGGGTTGGTTGTGATGGTGACTGCTTTCTGAGATAAAGTGAAACTCCAGACCCAAATCAACATTTTCACCTTCTGCCAACATGAGGCAATTGAGACTAATAAATGCAGATTGAGAGATTAAAATAATATAAAGGTGAATGTTTGGTGTAACTACACACAGATCAGTGATGTGAGTTCCTCTTGAGCAGCTGCAGTTGTTTCCTGCTCTGGTCTCACTCTGAACGACTCACTGAGGGAGGTTTTTGTAGTACAAATCACTGTGTGAACACTTGGCTGCTGTGGAAACTCTGACAGTAATAAACTGCTGCATCTTCAGCCTGAACTCCAGTGATGGTCATAGAGAAGTCACTGTGACTCCCACTGCCACTGAACCGAGATGGAGTTTCTGACACACGTTGTGTAACAAGTTTTAACCAGAGCTTTGGAGATTTACCTGGTTTCTGCTGATACCAGAATATATCCCAAGAAGACCCACCATTGTGATAAACATCTTTGTTAGTTTTACATGTGAGAGTGACTGTGGATCCTGGAGTAAACATCTGCACTGGAGGCTGAGTGACTGTGACCTGACCACTGCATCCTGTAAAAAACAATATACATTTATGAGAAGAAACACAGAGAGAAAAGGCAGTGTGTTGTGTTCAATGTCACTGAGAGTGGAACCTGTGAAGCAGCAGCAGGCCAGTGTCCAGATGAGGATGGTGCAGCCCAGAGTCATGGTGCGTTCACTGACACATGTGAGTGGTGCAGTCTTCAACTCACTATAAAACTCAGGAAGGATCAGCTGACCATGTGACCCTCCTCTCTATGGAAATACTGTCTCTTACTCAACTCTACACTGAACCACATGTATTAATCCTATTGGAATCATTTGAAATACACACATGTCAACAACACTTTTTGTCGACATAAGTATAGTATAAGTATGAAGCAGTCACACAGTCACATCAGTAATTAAAAGTACTGCACCTTAAAGACAACATTAGCACTT